TAGACAACAGATGGGAATAGAGGCAACAATAGTAGATGATATAGATGGTGGCCGTACCATATGGCTGTACCGTTCAGAGAATGCACAATGAAAGAATTCCATAACAAGTCATTCATTGGATACCACGTTGTAAACGAAAGAGGGGACGTCCCAAGAAAACATGGATGGAAGGAATAAGAAGGTCGATGAGGTCGAACACCTTAAAAATTTTACTTCATTTTTTGACGAATGCTTATTTATAACAACAGAGACTTTCATTTTCATAACTTATTATTATATTGATTTCTGATTCCAAATCCACATTTATTTAGAATAATTTATTAAGTAACACAATTAAATATGTAATTAATTAATATTTGGGCGGAAATAATGGTGGTATATTTAACTAATGGTATACTCTTTTCTAAAGATTTAAATAGTTTTATTTTTGTATACAAATAGGCTGGTAATATTATCGCTTTTAGCCTTAAAATTTTTACTGCAATTTCACAAAATTGAAAATATTTCAAAAACGGTAAGGTTTAAATGTGATAAACCATAATCAAATTTACCTTTATTTTAATCGTAGAAACTAAAAATGTAATAATATACAGGGTGTTCCATTTAAAAAAATACAACTTTGATTTTTTTTTTATTTATTTGGGACACTCTGTATTTTGTAAAAATATTTTTAAATTGTAGCTAATAGTCCTTCAACGAACCCAAAACTTACAATTTGTAAAAATCTAATCGTTTAGCTACAATACTCCGTGTCGTATGTGGTGAACAACCCTGTATATTTAGAGAAAGGCAAATAATAAATCAACTACTCCTGATTTGTCCAATTATATGCTGCGTAAGCATTGTTGTCAAATATATTTCTCGTTTGTATGATACGGAACATTACGTATGATACGTTGTATGATACGGAACATTATTTTATTTATGATTTTGTAAAATTATCGCTAGACTTTTCTGAAGGCTGTGTATTATAATATCAAATAATTTTGTTTAGATATACACATACCGTATGATCGAATAAAAACGGCGTCCAGTTGGCTTGGAAATGACGATCGATGGCATTTCCTATATAAATTTACATATAAAATGACAGCGATCTTCATTTCATAGCCATCGCTGACGCCGTTTTTATTCGATCATACGGTATAATATACATCTTATATTTTCAGTTCTGATTTACTGTGTTTGAAACATCCCTAAAATGAAAGTTAAGGTAAATAGATGTTGAATTTTCTTACTTCTTATTCCCTCATTAATGAACAATAATTGTGAACTAATAAAAATTATAAGGCACATTTTAAATTTTATTCACTGTTTTTTATTGTAATTGTAAAATTTATATATATAATAATAAAGTTTTTATTATTTTATATATAAAATATTGTGTTATTAGGTTAAAATAACTATTTTATTTTGTTATTGCTAATAGAGGGAATCTCATTCGCCGGAGACGAACAAGGTTTGGAACAAGATATTGAAACTGCATTTACTAATACACCTAAAATTTGATATTTTAGTTAATAAAATAAAGTAAAAAACGCTTATTAATTTTTAATCGTTATTCTTATGTGAAAAGCCATCTTATATTAAAAAATTATGCCGGTTTTTATTTTATTTCGCTATCCTCCTTCAACTTATTTTTTTTACAATGCGACAAATATGTAAGATTTAAGTTTTATTATTATGTAAAACTTGGAAAATAAGTTGGTTATAATCTTAGGTTATAATAATGGTTTTATAATTCGGAAACCCTCTATTTATTTATCTAGCAATGCTAGAACACTCTATTAATTTGAAAGTCGATTAGAGAAAATAATATGATTCATTGGCAAGCGATGTAAATATTTGTGATCAGGTAAAAATGTGATGTAAGAGGACTAAGAGGAGGCTTAGCTTGCCGGCGCGCGGCAGGTCAGTCAGTAGTAAACGGGACGGCCGGCTGTTAAGTAGTCTTGTGTTGTGTTTTGTCACTGAGCTGACATTTGGAGGTTGCGAGTCTTTGGACTAAGGTTGAGAGTCCTATTAAAGGTACGAGTATTTTGACTATTAAAGGTACGAGTCTTTGACTATTAGGATGCGAGTCTTTTTGACTATTAAGGATTCGAGTATTTAAGCTTATTAGGATGCGAGTATTAAAGACTATTAAGGATGCGAGTCTTTTGACTATTAGGATGCGAGTCTTTATGACTATTAAGGATTCGAAGGATGCGAGTCATTTGAGTATTAGGATGAGAGTCTTTATGACTATTAAGGATGCGAAGGATGCGAGTCTTTTGAGTACTAGGATGCAAGTCTTTATGACTATTAAGGATACGAGTCTTTTTGACTATTAGGGATGCGAATCTGTTTAGCTGCAGATTTGCGTCCGGGGAAAGCCCCTATACTTATTTCAGGTGACACCAGCTAGTTGTTGAAGATTAACCAAAAGATCCGAATAATATTTGAATTAGATGGAGATATGGAATGGGATATATTGAATAAAATACCAGTGGCTAGGGGGCGGAGTACCCCCGGGTCAGTTTTACTATTTAACTATCTATAATTTTATCCAGATCAGTAAATGTTTTGTTATTTTCATGTACAATGAGAGCCTGCTTGCCAATGACCAACTAAATGGATATTTGAGGTGAATTTGCATTGTGAGACCCGGTTGAGTAAGCCCCAGAAATAAGCGATTTTACAATTATTTTATTTTAATTTATTAAGCAATTAGTAGGTATTTTATGAGAGAGCCTCCTCCTCATTTCTGTGATTTTCCCTCCTTGTACCATGAGAGAGCTTCCTCCTCATTTCTGTGATTTTCCCTCCTTGTACCGTTATTCTGCGGCATTGAACTCTTAGCTTATAGGGACGTACAGAAATATCGATATACTACTTTTCGATATTTCATTATATTAAAAATGTCTTAGATAATAACTATCGACCCATATATAACAAGTCGATTCATTCCTACTTTTTCTTCAAAGAGGGATGATATAGAGAAACAGAGATATTCTTATCCCCACTTATTTCTACCCCCACTATATCAATATCCAATCATATATAGTAAAACATCCAAAAGTAGGAGTATTAGTTCAGAATGACCGACGAAAATAATTTACAAACCCTCTCTCAACAGACGAGTTTTACTGTTCAACACCAATCTATACTTAGTGTATTACAATCTCCTCCTAGGGAAGAAGAAGAATCTAGAACCTGCAGAACAAAATACAAAAGAAAATGTAGAGGGAAATTAAGCGACAGTTTTGTGCTATTTGTCAAGACATGGTTGATTGCTACGAAACTTGTGCCAAATACATGTTCACACTTTTTTGCTTAAACTGTATATTAACGTGGAATGATGTACATTATGATGCAAAAATGACAACTAAGTGTCCACTATGTGGTTTACATTATAAATATTTAGTGCAGTTTCGAAAAGATATAATTAGATATTACTTTGTCCAGAGTATAAAAAGGGGATTAAAATAAATGTGACTATAAATATTTGCAGTTTTATTTCACATCATGTAAAAATTCTATTGATTTGACAGATAAATATCATTTAAAAAAAGTTCTAGAGATCCAGAGATCCAATGTTTCCATCAATAAAATATTTCATTTAATTCTAAACACACATTAGAAAACAACAACACGACCAGTTTAATATATTATTATTAAATAAAACATTTTATCGATATTTCAAATCATTGCTCATCTCTAATATAAAATTTAAAAAATAAAACCAGTATCACAGGTTCAACGATCTCAGAGAGAACCGAGAATCGAGAATAAGATACCTGCAGATATAATCTAAATGGAATGATGTACAATGTGGTTTAAGGATGAAATGTCCATTGTGTTGTTCAAGTTATACATATTTGGTGCAGATTTAAGAACATGCAATTAGACACCATTTTACAATTACATTAAAAAGAGGATTTAATTTATAAAAAGAAAATGCTGCTTATATTTTTATTCAAAATATATTCTGAATAAAGTATATTTTAATTTATTAAGTTTTAATTTAACAAAAGTGTGTGTAAGTTAAAATGTTGTTTAATAAATTAAAACATTGTTTATAAAACCAAAATAGTCTATAATATACCTACATACCCTGAAGTATCTACTTATAAATTTGTTTCTGTATGAAATTTTTTTTTTGTATAGCATATAAGACAAACAGTTAATTTGTAACTGTTTGTAAAGTATTAACATATTCAGTTCTAAATTACAACATATTAATTAATAATAAAAAAAAACTTACGTTTAACTACATACTAAATATATCTACTAAATAAAATTACAATATAAATAACTTAACCTAACCTATCACTAAACAAAGATTTTTACATACTAAAAAATAAATAAAATAATGCATCCTATATATTACTACATTTCCTTTGAAAAATTCTCCCCATTGCAAATATAGCAACATATAGGATGCATTATAATATATAAATTACAGTTGCACACCCCACATTTACTACCAAGTGTCGTTTTATTAATGTCTTGTGGTAATAGTTTTGTTGTGAAGTGTGACGACATATGTTGATGGGAACCGTACGGAACCCTCAACTGATGTCGAAAATAGCACTCTCCACACAATGGCACCTCACGAACACTACCACTCACAGTAGTGTTCATCGTCACTCGCACATAATGTTTGAAGACACAAAACACTCCGGATTCTAGGGCTTGTTGATATTCCGATATACCAATATAGTTTGCCCTAACCGATATATGGGAATCAGATATATCGTTGTCTTCGCACCCGGAGTCGTTTGAGTCTTCAACATCCTCAGGAGCCATTCCTTCTGCGTTATTGATATCTCGCTGCTCCATAATATCCATTCTTCTTTCTACCGTTTCTTCTGGATGTTGTCGATTCCAGAAGAATTCATAGAGTCTTTGAAGTAAATCCATTTCTACAAAATTGCACACACAAAACAAAATAATAAATAAATAAATAGAAAAATAGTATACACAAAATCGTACCTCTGTCGTCTCTGTATATCTCTGTACCACACGTACTCAAGTTTTATTCTTGTTATATTCTATATTAAACTTATCCATTTATAAGAAAATCTTAACCTTGAGAACCAGCTTTCCACTCCAAAGGTCAATGAACTTTCAAGAAAAATGGTGTTTTCAGTCGCATCCCGCGGCCATGGTCGTCGTTCTCATCATTTTCGTCACAATCAGACAAAACAAAACGAACGACAGAAATCCATCCGTCGTCCATCGGATGACCGCTTTTTGTTCACCACCACTTTGACAGCGGTCCATCAAACCGTCTACAGTTCTTCAAAAATTCCTTTGTTCTTGCGCCGACCGTCCCCGCGTTTTCGATCCTTTTGCGAACGCCCAAACATTCCCACCGCTTATAATTCGCCCATTTATATTTTGGATTCGAATTTTGGAAATATTTACAGCCCGAGAGACGCATGGACGGTTTTTTCGATCCGACCCATCATCGTGGTCGGCGCGCCAGGGGAAGGGAGACGAACCTATTATATAAGAACCTGCTTTTATCGCAGACTGCAACAATATTTCAAACGTGCAAGGTGTTCGTGTGACCAGATTTGTGCTTTATTGTTTTACTTTGTTTCCAACTGTTTACAGGTAAATATTTTTTTAAAATGGACCACAAAATTAATTTATTGCAAGTTGTTGTCTTCAAAAACTTTTCAAATCCTCGTATTATTTTAAATACAGAATCAACTTCTATTGACACAAAATTGGATATTACTACAGACATCGACATAAATAACGAACTAAATAAATTTATAAACGAATTTGACAACAGTGAGGACGTGATAACAGACGATTTTTTAACACATACACAAATAATCGTTGACAATACCGTTAACAAAAATGATTCTGTTATAAAATGTGATGAATTATTAACATGGCCTTCTCAGGAAAAAATTTTAGATGATAGTGTAGCTACTTCGTTAGCTAATTCAAAAGATAATTTAAAAAATAATTTAATAACCCTGCTTGTTAATGATTCTGATGACGAAGAATTGATTTGTTGTTCACAAAAAAGTAATCCTGAATATAATAGAAATATTTCCCCTATTTCATCAGCATTTTCCCCTTTGTCACCGTTTATCGAAAATTTTAGTCCCGAAGAAAATGAACCATCACAAATTCAAATTTCGTATCCAAAACCATCTTTTATAATAACTAAAAAAACTAAAACGTTAAGAAAATATCTAAAACCATATTCAAAATTAAAAACTTTAGGTTACGCGCTTCAAAATGTTATTGAAAATATTACTATTAATGAAGAAAATGCTGCAGGAATAGAACGTTTAAAACAATGTTACGATACGTTAGTGGATTCATTTGATTAAATATTTACATTTTTTTTTTTTTTCATTTCTTAATTTAATTAAATTGAAAAAATATATTTATACCTTCTTCTTTCCAAATTTTATTCATAACATTTTAAATATTCAAATATACAACATAATCTTATATTACAGAATTTGAAAGATGTTCACATGTTCATCTTGTCAAAAAGCGTTCAGTCGTAAAGACAATTTAACTCGTCACTTAAAGAATGCATGCAAAAAGTCTTCTTTTCTAAACCGTTTTTTGGGTAGGTCAGCAGCTGAAGAAAAAAGTAAGACATTCCCATTGTATAATTTTATAAACTAACAAAATAATTTCATTTATAGAAAAATATTGTTCAGAATGTAAAGAACATATTTTACAAAATTTGTGGATTGGTCATCTGCGTTCAAACAGTCACAAAAACAACTGTAAAACGTTGGAGGAAAAAGGAATTCATATAATAAAATCAGCTTTCAAGGAAAGGATAATATCATACAGATTATCTACCGAAGAAAATATTTTAAATGTTAAAAACTATTTTAAAATATTGGAACAAAAGATTCTACGGGTGTTTGACAATCAACTGAAAAAACATACTTGTATTAAAATCAATATAGAACTTTTTGGATATTACTATAATCCAAGTACTGATAATCATGATGTCAAATCGTTCAACACTCCATTTAAAGTAATTTGTAACAGCAGTGCAACAAAGGATTTGATAGAAGAATTTGCAACAATTATTGACAACAAGGCTGATGAATTCGCAGAAAGGGACTCTGGTAAGTGTTATATTTTTTAATATAAATGTAACATAATACATTAATTTTATTTTTTTGTTTCAGGATGGATCTTACTAAATCTTCTTTTTATGGAAATTAACATCAACAAATTCAATCCTTTGAGAGCGTCATCGTTTATTCAACTTCCTCCTGAAATAGTACGACGTCAAGCTGTCGTCAACATAAGAAATAACGATGACTACTGCTTCGCATGGTCCGTAGTTGCAGCCCTTCATCCTCCAACAGGTGTTGATTTTCAAACATCATCATACCCACACTATTCATCAGTTTTGAACACTACAGGTATTGATTTTCCAATATCATTAAAAGACATTAAAAATTTTGAAAATCAAAACAATATTTCTATCAATGTGTACGGTTTAGAAAAATATTATAATAAAATTTCTAATAATGAAGAATATGAAATAATTGGTCCTCTACATTTTTCTAGTGATAGAAAAAATATTCATGTTAATTTGTTACTAATAAATGATGATGATGGAAATTTTCATTATTGCTACATTTCCGATCTTTCTAAATTAATTTCTAAACAACTTAGTAAACACAATGGAAGAAAATATTTGTGTGAAGGATGTCTTCAATACTTTGATACAGAACAAAAATTACAGTATCATAATAGTTATGATTGTGATCATGTTAGAATTAATTTACCTTCTAAAGAATTATTTAAAGACAAATATGGAAATGTAGCATATGAAAACACATTAAAATATATAAATTATCAAAAGCAAATGAAAGTTCCTTTTATAGTATATGCAGATTTTGAATGTATTTTAAAACCTTTGAATGAGAATTATGATGTAGAAAATCCAAATAATTCATATACATTAAAAAAATTTGAACATATTCCATACTCTTTTGCGTATTACATCAAATGTTCATTTGATGATGAATATTCTAAGTTTGAAAAATATAGAGGTTTGAATAGCGAACAAGTTTTTATAAATTATCTAGAACGAGATGTATTAAATTTATATCACACTTTTCTAAAAAATCCTAAAAAGATGAATACTTTATCCGAATTAGAACAAACTACACATAATAATTCCACAAACTGTCATATTTGTGAAAAACCGCTTTTAGGGGATAAAGTTGCCGATCATTGTCACATTACAGGCAACTATAGAGGGCCGGCTCACTCTTTATGTAATATAAATTTTAAAATTCCTAATTTTATTCCAGTTATAATGCACAACTTACGTAATTACGACAGCCACCTATTTATAAAGACTATGTGTTCAAATAAAGAACAACTATCAGTAATTGCCCAAAATAAAGAGAAATATATTTCTTTTGAAAAACACATTCTCGTAGATAATTATTTTGATCAACATACAAAAAATTTAAAAAAAAGAAATTTATCATTGAGATTTATCGACTCCTTTCAATTCTTATCATTTTCTTTATCTAATTTAGCAGATACTTTAAAAGATGAGCAATGTAAAGAAATAAAAAAGATTTTCGAAGATGAGGAACAATTTAAACTTATTCGTCAAAAAGGTGTATTTCCATATAGTTATATTGACAGTTTTGAAAAATTAGAGGAAACTGCTTTACCTAAAAAAGATCAGTTTTTTAATAGTTTAACAGATGAACATATTACTGATGAGGAATACCAAAGAGCTCTTAAAGTTTGGGATCTTTTCGAATGTGAAAGTATAGGAAATTATTCAGACATATATTTGCTATCAGATACTTTACTTTTAGCTGATATTTTCGAAAATTTTCGAAAAACATGTTTGTCAACATATAAACTAGATCCTGCACACTTCTACACATTTCCCGGCTTATCATGGGAAGCGTGTTTACGCTATACAGGCATCGAACTGGAATTATTAACAGATCCGGATATGTTGCATTTTTTCAAAAATAGCGTTCGTGGTGGGGTAAGTTCATGCATAACACGGAAATCAGAGGCAAACAATCCTTTTCTATCAAATTTTGATGCAACAAAACCTAATAAATATATAATGTACTATGATGCAACAAATTTATACGGTTTTGCTATGTCCCAATATCTGCCAACAGGTGATTTTGTATGGTTAACCGAAAAAGAAATAAAAAATCTAGATATTTTTTCAATTTCTAGTACATCTAGCAAAGGATATGTTCTAGAGGTTGATCTGGAATATCCTGAAAGTCTCCACGACACTCATAATGATTTTCCTTTTTGCCCTGAAAATTATAAACCACCTAATTCAAAATCTACAAAATTAATACCAAATTTAAACAATAAGTCAAAATATGTAATTCATTACCAATTGTTAAAACAATGTCTACAAAATGGACTTAAGATTTCTAAAATTCATAGAGTTATACAATTTTCGCAATCTGCTTGGTTAAAAAAATTTATAGACTTAAATACCACACTACGAAATCAATCGAAAAATGAATTTGATCGCCACACATACAAATTAGCAAACAATAGTATATACGGCAAAACAATGGAAAATGTGGATAGGAGAGTCGATGTAAGACTTGTTACCGAATGGGAAAAAAATAAAAGAACAGATGGAGCTGAAAATTTAATAGCAAAGCCATATTTCAAGGACTTAACAATTTTCTCAGAAAACTTAGTCGCTATTCAAATGAAAAAAATACTAGTTACTTATAATAAACCAATATACGTTGGATTTTGTATTTTAGACATATCAAAAACTGTCATGTACGATTTTTTTTATAATTTTTTAAAACCTTTGTATAAAGATAATGTGTCTCTTTTGTATACTGATACAGATTCTTTTATTCTGGAAGTGACAACAGAAAATGTTTACCATGATATGCATAGAAATATTCATAAATTTGACACTTCCAATTATTTGCCAAATAATATTCATAATATGCCTATAACACAATCAGTGGTTGGTAAATTTAAGGATGAATATGCTGGTGAACCCATTGTAGCTTTCTATGGTACCGGAGCAAAAGCTTACTGTGTAAAAACCGAAAAGGGTTTATTAAAGAAAGCTAAAGGTATAAGAAAACATGCTATTAAAAATCAGTTGCATTTTATCCACTATAAAGATGTAGTAGAAAATAATTCTAAAATTTTTTGCTCCATGTATGTTTTTCGTTCTAGACTACATTCAATTTTTACTGAATTAATACATAAAATTGCTTTGAATTCTGAAGATAATAAAAGATATCAAATTCCACATGATTTTAAAACACTTGCTTGGGGTCATCATGATATTTCATTTTACCAGTGGAATGATGATCATCCAGACCTCAGCATATTTTTTAAATAATATTTAATTTAAACATTTAAACATTTAATATGATTCACTCTGATTGTATTTAGATCCATTTAAAAAAAACATTTACCTGTAAACAGTTGGAAACAAAGTCAAACACAAAAGCACAAATCTGGTCACACGAACACCTTACACGTTTGAAATATCGTTGCAGTCTAATATATATTTATTAATATTAATTTATTATTCCTTTAGAACTTATCATAATGTATACATATTAGTTATAGAGTTAGAGGAACAATTATATTTTATGTATTTTAGTTTTACATGTTAAATGGAATTTAGAATGTAGTAACTAATTTAATTATTTTATATGTTAGATTAATTCTGATTTTAGTTGTTGTAATTTTAATTAATAATATACTTTTATATGGATAATGCATTTTTAATGAAAAATATACCTACTTAAAGAATACGCCTTTGACAATATTTCATTCCTTATTAACATTTCTTAAGATGTGTTTGGAAAGTTTTGATAAAGATATTGATGATGTTACTTATAAAACCTATGAAAATCGACTTTCTACTTTTAAAAACTGGAATGGAAAATTGGAACCTGAGGTATTAGCAGGGAGCAGGCTTTATTATATTTCATATAGTGACGTATGCAAATGTTACTATTGTGGAACTGAAATTTATGAGTGGACCTATGATGACTGTCCTATCGAAGAACATCACACAAAATTTCTCCATTATGTAATTTAAACGAATGTTTATGGTTAAGTCAAAACAAAAAATAAGAAACAAAAATTCAAAAATCTAATAATTCACTGGAACATGTAATTTTGATGATATTATTATTCATTAATTTACATCTTTTTTCAACATATATTTCTTATGCTAATAAGTATTTATATTCATCTATTGAAAAGATATTGTCAAATATCATTTGGTGATCATCTTGAATGGAAGTAAATTGTAGATAAATAAATTTTTTAATAAAATATTTACTTTGTTTCAATGGCTCATGAAACCCATTTTATTCTCCTTTATTTCATATTTCAAAATGTTATTTATGTTCATTATCCCCCTACTGTAACACGATGTGAAATATGTTTTTCCAATGAAACAAACATTACACTTGATAAAAATTGTCAGTTTATGAAAGTTGGTTTAATCAATAATAATACACTTAGTTTTATATATCCCATCAACAAAGGAGAAAATGTTAGTAGGTTTTTTAAAATTTTATATCATTATTCAAACCAAACCATTTTTGATACTAATTGGATTGAAAGAACCGAATTAAAATATACACATTTTCAAAATGAATCATTCAATTATACTAAATTTATTAATGAAAAAAATAATGGATATAACATTTTTAATATCGTTAATCTCTGTTTAACTTTTACAATATTTTTGTATATTACAATTTTAATTATCTTTTTTTATTATAAATTTCAAACAGGAAATTTACACTTTCATTAATCAATTTCATTTAAAATATTGTTTCGAATAAGCAATGGGTATGAGTTGACGATATCAATAGGTGGGGAGTATGAAATGGTGGGATCCGAATATTAAAAGTAAGAGGAGAACTAATATTATTTAGTTCATTCACCATGTCTTCTAAAGTTTTTGAAAATCTTTTGAATTCAAAAATTTTCTTTTTGAATAAATCTTCATCAAAATTTGTTATTGTTGGTATAAGTAATCAAGACTTTTCACCGAAAATTATAATTGGTGGAAAAAATGGTTTTTCTATAACACTAAGTGAAGAAAATTGGAATAGTTTTTGTAGTCAGCGGGGAGTTATTGAAAATTACTTCTGCTTTCCCCAGCAAATTAACGAACCCATGTTGAATATAGACAACTTTAAATTATATTTTGAGAAAGTCAACAGTCTTCCTATCATAAAAATTAAAGAAGAATATTCAAGATATATATATATTTAGGATATGAGTCTATAGAAACATTATGGCGATTAAAGGAAGTTGTGGATTACAGGATTTCTATTATAAAGAAACAAGAATTTTCACTTTACTTTAAAGTATTCCAAACCAGCATTTCAATTCAGGAAGGTGATCCTATTGATAATATTTATCGCATTTTGCAACCCAATCAAAATCCCAACAGTGAAAATGTTTCAACTATGTTGGAGTTCCTGATACTGTATCCTGAGGAATTGGAAAAAAGGTTGAAGAGGAATGAACACAAAAGAAAATATTATGAAGAAATCGGTGACCTTTCAGGAAGAGAAAAATAAACTTTATGTGTTAGTGCAGTGGAATTTTGCTTATAAACAAGCACGAAAAAGTGAATTTAGAACTTATTATTTAGATAGACTTCGTTTTGAAAACAGATTAATAATTAATAGATTATTCTTGATCAATACTAAGCAAAGAACACAGAACTAAAATGTATTTAACACGATTTGCTAATACTTGTATTTAACCAAATATTAAATAAAACTATATTATATTAATTAGTGCTTTATTTTATTTTAAGTTACATAAAACAACTATACAACATCATTTTTATTAATCCATGTATTAAACTTTTTATCTAATCCTAACCATTTTACATATACTTTGTTTCCTTTTCTTCTTAGAATTTTTTCAACGAGGTATACATCAAAGTGTTTTGCTTTCTGTAACTCCTGTTCATAAAATCCACCCTGAATTTCCTCATTTCTTTCATCTTCAATTATATATGTTCTGGGATTTGTCATCTTAACTTTTTTAATTCGAAATATTTCATTTGACCAATTTGGAGTGTAACCTTTGGAAAACGCCTCGCGATACTTGCTTATACGCACATGATCTCCAACTTTAAATTTAGGAAGTTTTGAATCTACTGTTTTAGCATGAGTAAAGATTGATCTTAAAATCTTCTTTTCATTTTGTTTATTTACTTGGTTTTGGTTTCATTCCAATTGTTGAATGTTTGGTGTTGTTGTAATCCTTAACGATATCTTGTAAAATATTAAGCCATCTATAATTTCCCTTTGCAAACTAAACATTTTTCCACATTCTGGTTTTTAATGTTCGGTTTACTCTTTCAACTACACTTGCTTTTAAATTGGAAAAAGTACTATAATGATTAATTTTAAATCGTTCCATCAATCTTTGGAAATGTTGGTTGAAAAATTCTGTACCCCCTATCCGTTTGCAAATTTTGTGGATTGGTTTTTAAAGTAAGTAATATGGTTTTCATTGCTGTGGCAACATCCTTACCAGATTTTGTTTTTACAGGTTCTGCCCAAACATATTTTGAAAACACATTTATAACAACTAAAATATATCTATAACCCCTGTTAAATTTGGAATATGGTTGCATTTCTACTAGATCTGCCTGTAAAAGATCATTTAGTCCTTTAACAATTACCCTTCTTCGCATAAATTTTTTTCTAGCAGGTTTATGTAACTCATTAACTACTTGTTCCTTAATGGTTGTCATACTTTTGAAATTTTACCAAAAGATATTTAGTTTTGATAGTAGTTGTCCACAAAGCTTTTATACATCTCTGTCCATTCTTTTAATTTTTGTATTTGTTCATCCTTATTAGTTTCAATCAAAATTTCATTAATTTTAATTATTTCTTTGACTAGGTTATCTAGATATTCTTTAACTGTTGTTAATAGAAAATCTTTTCTTTTATTTGCAGAATTTTCTACTTCCGTTTCTATTTTTGTTAGTTCTTCATGCAATATTTTAGAGATAGTATATATATTTTGTGAAAGATTTTCTATATATTGTCTAATCTCTAAAGATACAACAGATAATTTTTTACCATTAAGAGTATCCTTTATAAGTTTACTCTTAGATGAAACAATATTATCAATATCATTTCTTAGATGTTTAATTCTTTCTTTTTGATTTTTAATTATCACTTCTCTAATTTGAGTGTTCATGGTCTTATCAATTTCATCAATATCAGCATTAATTTTTGTATTTTCTTCTTTTACATACTCTTTCAACGATTCTAGACTTACATAAAGTTCATCCAATTTTAAATCGAACTTCTCTAAACTGGATTTTATTGTAGAAATTTCACTTTTACTTTTATTTCTATCTTCACTTTCCAAAATTTTTTCTGATTTTAATTTTGTAATTTCAGCTAATGTATTATTAAATTGCTGTCTTAGATCTTGTAGTTCTTCTATGTCTTTTTTATGGTTAACTATGTGCATATTTAATGCTGTCGCTGTAATTTTTTCAGTTCTGTCAATTTTATCATGAACATCCTTAAAATAAGCTACTTCTTGATTAACTCTTTCGTAAACTTTGTTTGCGAAATCTTCAAATTTTGTTTTAATATCATTTTGAAGATTTCTTTTGATTGATTCAATTTCTGTTTTTAAATTATTAATTGTTTTTATATTATCATTAAATTGTACAATTTTATCTTCATGTTTTGTAATTTTATCATCAAAAAACTTAATTTTCTTTGCAAAATTACTATTGTTTGATTCATTTTCACTTAATCTTTTATTTGTGTTGTCTATACTACCTTGAAAATGTTCAATTACTTTATTTTCAATATAGTTTACATCTGTCTTAAACCTATTTAAAATTTTATTTTCAACATTTGATAAGACTGTATCTTCCAAGGTTGTTGTATTTACAGTGTTACGTTTAGAAATATGACAACCAAATTTATCAACAGACATGATTTGATATTGGTCAACAATTGATTTGTTTATAACTAGCAATTCTTATTTATAGTATAACTTTAGCCTCCCTTAATTCCTCAATTATAGATAATATTTCATTGTTGTGGGCTGTATTGCCAGCATCTGTAGATGCTAGTAAAAGACGAAGTCGATCCACAAGTTCATTTATATTATCCCAATACACATAATCTGTATTTGATTTATTTATTTTTAAAGTTAAACCTTTCCCTTTCTGAACAGCAGTCGTTCTACTAGTTCTAAATGGTGCTTTCGGTTTAGCAAAAGCTTCAGACAACCTTTCCAATGGTGTTATTGTTTTAGTTTTTGTAATACCCTTTCGTTGCAAGTAAGGTCCAATTATTGTTACATATTTATGTGAACTATTTCCTTGCACTTGCTCGTTGGGATCAAAATTTCTACGATATGCATTAGTTCTTTTTAATATGTCCATATAATTTTCTAAATCTTCATTTTTATATCCAACAGGTTCTTTTTTAAAAAGAATTCATATAAACCAACCGTTCGGGATATTTTATACCTTCCACATGAATATTTTTACCAATTATTTCCACAGGTTTTGTGTTAAACCCAAAAAAATTTATCTCTTTCGAGATCATGCACTATTCCATAATTATGATCAAACTTAGACTTTGTATCTTTCACACCTTCATCTATATATGTTCTTGGTAATTCATGGAAAGCATTCAACCAATCATCATATCCCGAAGTCCCAACATATGTTTGAATAGTTTGTCTTGTCTCTTCTAATATATCTGATAAATTTCTACTTTCTGAATGGTTAAATTGTGAAGGAAATGTTTCTGCAATAATACTTGTTTCTTGTATATTGGGAATCTGACTTATAGATTCTGTTGATCTGTTAAAAAATGATGGAGTTTCAGGTGGTAATATAGGAATTTTGCCAGTTTTCGGGTTATTTTAACTT